GTGGTTAGAATTGGGAATTTGTTTATAAGTATAGATGCAAAATCATCCAGCAGTATAAAGTATATGTATGTAGGATACTATAATTCATTATTGACTTTACTACTTTTTACATTGACTTTTTAGTGACTATGAATTGATAACAGCATTTATGTATTGGTGAAGGAAGTTTGAACATGGTCTAAAAGATACTTAACAAGAATAGAACTTTGCATAGAAAGATAGATTGGATAATGACAAGAAATGCTTCTTTAATTTTTGAATTAGTATAAAGAGATCTCTTAAAGAAAGTTTACTTGCTATTAATTATATTCTACCAATTTAATTGTACTTTTATTTGAGCTTTGCTACAGGCTTGACAACTTTTGCTGTCAGTTTAATTGCTAGGCTTCACTGGCCTCATTGTGGGTGAATTTCATTACAATATAATTTTGAGGTATTGATTTAGTTTCCATTGTTTTTTTGTAAATGTATTCTTGCAAAACACATTTGATAATGTGTTATGTAACATGAGACAATTCTCACTTCTTCAAGTTGAAATTTGATTGCAAAAACCTCCTATGGCAAATTCCTTACAGTGAGGTTGCGTCATCCATGTTATTCGTGAATCATATATGGCAGCGGATACTATGGCTATAATAAGACACAACATCGCAAGTATTTTGTTATTTTTGATTGTATCCCCAAGCAGTTAAATATGCATATATTGTGGAATTGACATAATTGAAATTAAATTCCCTAAAACTCACTGTTATATTTTTTTTTTTAAATAATGATGTATTATTTCACTACTAATTTCCTTTTAATATTAAATTTTTATTTTATTTTTTTAATTTCAAGGGCCCGGGCATTGCCCGGGGTATTAACTAGTAATATTAAAAAATTGAAACACTTACAAGTTTCACCAAACATGTTCTACCAAACATGTTTTAAGTTGGCTTTCTTGTTAGAGTTATACCATATCTGAATGGGGGTTGATATTAGAATAATTTTTTATATTATTTTTTTACATAATTTTTACATATCATTATCAGTTAATATATTTAATATTATAGGTTTCAAATAATTAAAAATAGCCACTTATGTAAATATTATGTAAGATTGTATAAAAAAATAACATAAAAAGATTGTCCCTAAATTATTTTTCATGTATTTAATTAGATAGTTTAGAGTTTTCTTCTTAATTGATTAAATTTGTTTTAATTGGTTAAAATCATATATGGGAAAATAAAGGAATCTTCTTGCAATATTGGTTTACCAAAAGTAGTTTTAAATTCAATGTATTGCATATATTAAAATTTGTTTTTCCCTACTAGTAATGTTCATAAATTGAATTGTTGGCGTCATCATGACTTTAATTAGTTTTAGTATCAAACCAAGAACTTCTAGCCAGCCTCGTATCTTAGTTACTTTTTTTCTTTTTAATTTAATAGTTAAGGTGCCTTTAAATTAGCTTACCTCTATCTCAAAACTATCCCCTCTTCAATCTGATCAAAGGCAAACTATTCACACTAAAGTTAAGAAATTTATAAAAAATTACTTTATCATTAACCTTTCCAATAACATGTCTTAGTGAATGATAATTTTAATTTATTTTAGTTAAAATAAATAATCTTGAAACTAAGTTATATCACATGCAGTTAAGGTTGAATACAAGAGATTATTATTTTCCTATTTTACAACTCAAACTCAAACTCAAAATAATAATACTAATAATTTATAGATTCAAATCTTGTAAATGATAATAAACATAGTTAGACCATTTATTTCATATACAAAGTTTTTTTTTTTCTTTGTGATATGATTTCATAGACAAAATTAAAACTTGACATTCAAGAGACATTCAGGAGTTGGGGATTACAGAGTTATATCTTTTTGGGACAATTATGGGGACCTAGGCCTTTCTTGCACAAAAACTCCTGACGATTTTGTTCCTCTCACTTTGTACTATGGTTAAGGGCAAGGTTTAGGTTGAATAGAGATATTAATTAAGTTCTAATGGTGGAATTGATACAAACACAATATACCTTAAAATGAAGGCTCACCATGTGCCGTTAAACAATTAACAAGATACATATATATTGATTCACATGTTAATGAATAATTCGTAAAGATTGACTCAAGTTATAAAGAGTAAGAAGAATCTTGATGAAATACGTAATGTTTGAATCTTTCGTTGCTATTTTGCAAGTAAACTATTTCAACAAACCACACTTGCTACACTACCATGTGTGCAAATTTGCCCGGATGCTATAGATGGGGCAGTTTGTTGACATCCATATTGGGACTAATAATACTAAAGATTTAGATACTGTGCTGTCAAAAAAATACAGCTAAGAGTAAAAAAAAGTCGATCACAATTTTCCTCAAATAATGGAGTAATTTTTTTTTTGGCCTTCTCATATGGTAAAGAAAAAAATGGACTCAAGCATTTTTTAAGATTTAACTTCTTCTTTTTTTTTTTATAAAATAAAAAATTTATTAATAAGTAAAGAGATTATATTGCAAATTTATATTATGATATTTGAGCCTAAAAACAAAAATATAGCCTATGATATTAGCAGCAAATTTAAACTATACCCATAACTTTGAACTATGGTGATTGGATAATAAACGTCACAAGATTGAAATGTTAATCATTTTATTTTGAGAAAAGCACTACTAATTAAATCAGTTGGGAAGTATATAGAACTAATTAAGTGTGACGTCGGAATCCGCTAAGAATGCAGGTGCAGCCACTGGACAAAAGGAAATTAGTGGTGCAATTTCTTATTACCTCATGACTCTTGACGTTCGATTGATGTTAGAACTTTATTAATTCACACTCACGGATCGGATAAAACTCTCCCTTTTTTGGCTAAGTGGTGGGACAGATTAAAACTTAAAACTAACACATTAAATAAAGGAAATAGTCTAAGTTACTTAGAATATATGGCTGATTGATATAAATCTTAATTAGTTATAAAATCAGATAATGTAAGAAAATTTATATGGTACAATCACTCTTACGTGGACTTGGAATACCACCTTCCAGATATTCTTGTAATACAACAGAACTTTTCTTTTTAGAGGAACTGATTTGTTCTAGTGGCCTCTCATTTCAGCCTTCGCCAAGAGAAAGCTGAAGCAAAAATGTGTAGGCACTAACAAATATGAAAATTTAGTGTTTACCGTTTGAAATAGATTGAAATATAAAATAAGAATTATTAAATATATAGAGAAATAATTTTAATATTAAGAGATTTATCTTAGTTTAATTATTATATTGTATACTCAGTATAGATTAGACTTCATTACTTAATTTTTAACAAAAAATTATGCATTAATTTGCAAAATTAATCACAAAAGGCAATGAGGGTTATTTGACTTTTCACTATATTACATTGAACTGTATAATGCTTTTTTAAACAAAGGATTAGGAATTAATTTGCAAAACAAAATCACAAAAAGCAAAGAGGGTTATTCGGCTTTTCACCGTATATTAAGGACTAAACAAGCTTATAAGGAATATTATATCATCATAAGGCCAGTAACTGTCCCACCATTTGGCATTAATCAATTAATTAATATGGTTCATGATTGAGTTTAATTAAGGTTGACCCTCTAAAGGGGGTTAATTAATTAATGACAAAACACACCAAAATGAGATTGTCTCCAATCATCATCATCATTTGGAGTGACGGCTAAGGCTAAAAAGAAAAATTAGTACTGAAATTTTAAGCAAAGGGCAGTGTTTGGGCTGTTGCCTCGCTATTTCATATGCCTAGTTGCAGGCATTGATGGTGAGGTAAATATGGCACCAAATAAAGATAACTTTCTTGTTCTCCTTACACCATTATTCCTTGCTTGATGGCTAAATGTCAGTGTTGCAGTTGAACTGCAATTGTCTCTTCCCCACTGCCCTCTTAGATTCTATCTACACCATTCAAAAAAAAAAAGAAAAAAAAAAAAGAAAGAGAATTGCATGTATATATATGTACCAAACTATGAATGGTAAAAATTATTTTTGAATTTAAAACGTTAAGATTTTGGGTTTATTTTTTTATTTTTTTATTTTAAATTAAAAAAATATTTTGCATTTATTACACCAAATTATATAATATAGAAGTCATCAAATGAAAAGTTCTTGAATGCATATGTGCATTTTGTATAATAGGTAGTACGTATTTTGTCGCGTCTAGTACAATTTAGTCTCCATATTGGAAAACGCTACTCTTTATAATCATTAAAAATGTGATAAGCTAGCTAGCTCAATGGACCGCTGGGTTTTTTATCGGATATACATGGAGCGATCGGAATAGAATATATGGTCATGTAGAGGAATATTTCGAGAAAGCTAGGGGTTTTCCTTAGCCAAACATTTGTGGCTCAAGTGCAACCAAGTTAATTATTGTTCCTTTGCCATTTCCATTAATTGTGACAATGGGATTTTTGAGAGATGGAGACCCATTGGATGGAGACCATTGCCTAAACCATTTCCACAAGCTCAGATTCCAGCCCCTGTGCACTCAGCCTCAGTTACCTAGTGTAAGGCTAAGGACCAGATTGAGTGTATCATTTGATAATCTGTTTATGTTTCTACCTTAATTTGTTAATTGGGTTTTATTAAACGGTTAACCATACAATTGGGATTGGTAATGGGGACAGCATAGCCTAGAGAGGTACAAACGAACAGGTAAGGGCACATGAAAGTGAGCTTTATTGCCAGGCTGGTGAGCAGTAGTACTTGCTTGAGATTCAAATAAGTAGTTATAATGATGAGTACCAATCATTGAATGATTGATAGCAATTTGGCCACATATAAGCTTTACTTGTAAAAATTAATTTTATTCGTGTATTTAAATAACTAGTTATAGAATAAAAAATAATTATTTTAATACTGTAAATATTAAAATGAATCTAATATCCTTTAACTTAATAACAAGAGAGGTTACATTAGTACCATTAAACCATTCAACTCATTCACCACGTATGCTTGTCATTATACAAGACAAATGTTGCATTTTGGTTTGGCAGTTGTTAAACCACGTGATTTGAACATTGAACTTTATAGACTTTGCCATATGGGAAAATGACAGCTACCTGTAAATTGAATCCCACCATAGGATTTAATAGACAATTATATAATACTACAAAACTTCATTATTGTTAATGTTTCTTTTGAGGAAAACTTTATTAGGTCACTTCTATTGTAGCCAATTGTGGGCCTCAATAAGGTTTAACAACTTCTAGAGAAGTTGGTGGCTTAGAATATGAGGATTTGAATACTCTACTTTGGAAATTAAGTTGAATCTTGAGCATTTTTTTTAAAGGGTCAAAAGTATGTACTTTTCAAAAAACTACATTTTACTCAGTTTTAACTTTTACAATAGAAAAACTCTTTTTAGAAATTGGACCAATAGGCACTAATAATATTGTAAAAGCTGGATTAGGTATCAGTTTAAAGGGAATGATATGCCTCTATACATCCAAATTGAGATTTCCAGGACTTATTTGTAAAAACCGTATTGTTCCACGTTCTTCCATCATTTAAAATCATAGCATCTCACTGCCTAGTGCCTAAGGGCAGCATTGAAGGAATCTCCACCAACCAGATGAGGACCTCAATCTTGCCTGCAAAGATGGATACAGTACAGTAACTTATGTCATTTCTAGACATTATTAGTCCTCAAAAGATGCAGGAGAGATCAAATATGTAAACATTTAAGGGAAAGTCAAAGGAAGTCCTTACACTTTCTGATTGATTGCTCCTATCTCTATTGCTTGATGACATCCTCCTGGATTCATTTGTTTTCTTTCCATCTCTCTAGCTCATTTCTCTTCCCATGCCAAAGCTGTTCCCGGCCAAGAATGCTTCTTTCAGCCCAAACCTCGGATCATTTTCTTGAAAACCAAAATCCCTCCTTGCATGACTAAATTCTTGTTTGGTTTCATGCAAATTGCTTGTAATCCTGTCAAGCATTGCACTGTTCTGAGCCCTGATTGCTTCTTTCCCATGAGGATGAGCATTTATGTTCGAAGGACTTCCCTGCCTCGCTGCTCTATTAATACGATCAAAACTTGAATGTGACCCTGCTAAATCAATTAAAAAACATCCATCACTATTCTGATAGCTTACAGGCGAAAGCAGACTTGATTTATCTGCATCATCTTTTAGTCCTCCGGAATTCAGTGCACTCCCAAAGAACTCATGAGTCTGACCATTTTTCAGATTCTGTGTAGGACTATGAAAACTTTCAACCCGGTTTACACTTTGATTTACATCAGCAGCAGCATTCTGTAACAGCAGCAACATTAATTCATTCTCTTCGGTACCATAATCTATTTTCGGATTATTTTCTTCCATTAGAGATGCTTAGGAATATTGGGAAAGAAGCTGTTTCTGATTTGAGATAGCACCGTAAAGATGGGTGTCGAATTCACAAATTTTACAACTGTAGAGCCAACCATTGAAACAGCGTTCTTTTCATAAATCGTATCGGAAGTCGTAGGGAGGTGTGAATTCTAGTAGATATATTCTTACTTTCAAAGTATTTGTCCTTAACTTTTGTTAATAGTCATAGCTTCAGGGTGTGAGGATGGGAAGTGATTGCCAAGGAGAAAGGCACCACCAAGCACAATGTGTGGTAGCAAACGCCACATTCTGCACATACATAGTAGAATCCAGTGCTGGAATCCTCACAAGCCTTGCACTTGAATGTGGCTAGCACGGATGAAGGCATCACATGGAGGGTTAGACTGTGGTCAAGGTGCCGTGGGTGACGGTAAAGGATGGCCACATCTTGAGCAACACATTGGCGTGATATCCACAGGTCTTGTAAAGGAAATGTGGACAGTTGTTTGGTTTGCAACTATGTGGTCTATTTGGCTTTGGCGAAACCAGAAAATATTTAAAGATGGAGCCGACAATAGGGAGCAGGTTGTTGAGTTAATAAAATTCAGATCGTTTTACTGATGCAAAACAGCATTATGCTCAGACCTTGTGCAAGACAAATGGCGTTAACCAAAAGAAGGCTACATGAGAGTGCAGCAACGAGTTTGAGATTATTTAGCACACAATGGATATCATGGAAGAAGGTTTGACCCCGGTAGAAGTATGATGGATCCATGCCCCTAAAGGCAGGTAAATGCTTTGAAAAACCTGTGATTAATGACTTTCTGTTGTTGTAGGCCCCGGTCATATTTCTGGGAGCTTTTGCTATGAATGGAACTTTATGTATTAGTAATGTAATGGGTTTAGAGTACCCCTGTACTCTATTAATAATATATTTACTTTGCTGATAAAAAAAAAAAAAAAAAGGTGCCGTGGGTGACTGGTTTTCCTTGGCAAATTGTAGCAAACTTGATGGAGGATAAAAAAAAAAAAAAAAAAAAAGGTGCCGTGGGTGACTGGTTTTCCTTGGCAAATTGTAGCAAACTTGATGGAGGATAAAGGGGCAGGTTTTGCATTGGTAGTAGTACTTACCGGAAATAATAGCTAGATTGCAACCGGAACAGGTAATGTCTCCGGACAGAGGTAAGCTCCTGCGTGACACCGGATGGGGGTGACTAAAATGGTTGTAAGGATGGTCTTCCTCCTGGAATTCAATCATCTCCTCGGTCTTCCTAGCTTTCTTTTTTGCAGATAATTTGAAAAAAAAATTATTGTCTAGGGTAATTCACTTATGTTTCTAGGGAATTTGTACATGTCCCTTTCACCCTTTGGCTTTGGCTCAAAATTAAGTCCAAATTCATGAAATATTCCTTGATCAACTATCTTGAGACAGTTAAGCAGGGGTTAAATGTAGTAAAAAATAGCAATCCAAAAAGTTGGATATACGAGAAAGGTTAGGTTACTATTTAAGTTCTGGAATTAGCATATAAAGAAATTATTATTATCAAATGTATCAAGTTGAAATGAGATATATATTTTTTTAAAAGGGTTTGTCTTAAGTATATCCTAAGGTATATGTTATGTGTTAAGAGTATAATTATTATATTTTTTTACATTAATTATTATTAAAAATATAAAAACTGTCATTAATTTTATCATTAATGTTATATGAACTATTTTAATTAGATGATTTTTTAAATAAAAATTAATTTTTATTTTTTAATAATAATTAATGAAAAAATATAATAAATACACCATTAACTTGAATCCTTTAAAAAGAAGAGAGCCTAGTGGAAAGCTCGGCTGGGTAACTGCCTAGTGAGAGAAACGCCTGCTTTCTAGAGAGAGAAACCTATTAAACCCAATTTCATGTCTCGATTTTCATGGCAATTCTTCCTAAATCTGCCATGCCCACAACCTCTTGTTCATCAGATTCGCCTCGCTTAGCTCATTTCACCTCTGCTAAGGGTGTCTCCATGTCGCGCGACAACTTACAGGCTGAAATCTTGGCCATCACAGGTGTGCCTTCTTTGTCCCAGGTAAACTGTTCTCCTCCTTCTGACTTGGTATCTGAGGTAGCTCATGGTGCTTCCTATGTGGCTGCTGATCCTAATTCTGTTTCTTGGGCCGCTGTTGCTAAGTCTGTCTTGAAGCCCCTAAATTTTCACCCCCCTGTTCTTGATAATGGAAAATTAAGGGTGAAAGTGCCTCATGCAATTCACGATGAAGGAATCAAGTTGTGGGAAGATTGTTTGATAGGGACATTCATGGGCGATGCTCCCAGCTACGGTCACATCTTGAGCATGGCTAATCACATTTGGGGGAGGCGATGCCATATCTCAGTGACTGGGCTCAGCAACAATTCTTTCTTATTCAAGATCCCTGATCCGTCTACTAGAGCTTGGGTTCTAAATTTTGGTCCATGGCATGTTGCTCATAAAACCTTGGTGATGAGGAAGTGGGAACCTAACTACAAAGAATTTAAGCAAGACCCAAAGAGAATGCCGATCTGGGTAAAGCTTTGGGATGTTCCTATGGATTTGCTCTCAGTGGATAGTCTTTGCTATATTGCAAGTGGAATTGGGGTTCCACTAGCTTTGGACAAGGCAACGGAAGATAGGACCCGAGTTGATTTTGCCAAAGTTTGTGTTGAGATTGAGGTTGCAAATGCCCAGGATTTGCCTGAAATTATCCCTGTTGATATTGAAGACTTTCCATCTGTGGATATAAGGGTAGAATACCCTTGGTTACCCACCACCTATGGCTCATGCAAGAAGAAAAGGCACACCAGTCGCAATTGTAAGACAAAGAAACCCAAGCCAAAAACCTACAAGAAGGAATGGGTTGAGGTTGCAGGTAAGAATAAGCCAACTGAAGCTCCTGGTATTATTCCTGAACCTAACCAAGTTGCTATATCTGCCCCTAAAGTTCAGTCTGTCCCACTAGTTAAGGTTGTTGATGTTTCCCCTTCTAATCCAGAAGTTGTTGTTAATTCCCCAGTTCTATTTGAGGCCCCATTGACTGATGTTGAGTCGGTTGCTATTGGGTCCATGCCAATGTTTGCTGCTACAACTATGCCTGACAATGCTGAGCCTAACCCTTTAAGGAAGCAAAATTCTTTTGCAGCCTTGGCTGCTATTGATGATGAGCAAGCTTTTCCTCCCTTGAAGGCATCCTCTTTGTCTCCTAGGTCTAGCAAGAAACGTAGGCAAGCTTCTTTGGGCGTTGCTGCAGTCACAAAAGCATTGGCTCCTAGACAAAGAAACACCAAAAAAGTTCAGAATTCCTCAATGAGGTACCTCCCTTGCACCACAAATGAGGATTATTTTTTGGAATGTTAGAGGGATTAACAAGTCTCAGAAGCATAAATCTTTGAGGCACACTCTAAGAAGGCATGAAGCAGACATAATATGCTTGATTGAAACACATGTCCAGTTGTCAAAGTTTGAAAAAATTACTGAATTTCTTCTCCCAGGGTGGTGCAAGTTTGGAAACTATGATTGTGCCTCTTCAGGAAGAATATGGCTTCTTTAGAAGCCTCACATAACAGTTCAAATTTCAAGCTGTACATTGTCATGTTTTCAATTCTGCTACGAAGAAGTACATGTTTGCCAGTTTTATATATGGTGATAATTCCCCTGATCATAGAAAATCCCTATGGGATGAGTTAGTTCTGCTAAGCAAGAATTTGCCTGAGGTTCCCTTGATTTTAGGAGGGGATTTTAATGAAATCAGGTTCCCACAAGAAAGATCAGATTGGTTTCAGACTTTAGAATTCTCAAAGGATTCAGAGTTATTTCATGAGAGGCTTAATGAAGCAGAGCTTTTGGATCTCCCTGCTCTTGGACCACAATTTACATGGACAAATAAAAGGGAAATAGGGCTTATAGCCAGAAAATTGGACAGATTAATGGTAAATGGCTCTTGGTTAGAGACTTTCCCAAGCACTAGAGCTGAGTTCCTTCCCCCAGATATATCTGATCATTGTGCTGGCGCAGTCACAATTATGGCTCAAGATTCTCATGTTTCGAGAAAACCATTCAAATTCTTTAACTTCTGGACAAAGAATAGAAGGTTTTTAGATGTTGTAAAGGAAACCTGGTCATCTGTTGAGGTGCAAGGGTGCTACATGTTTCAATTATGTAAAAAGCTCAAAGCACTCAAGGCTCCTCTTAGAAAGCTTAACAAAGAATGTTATGGTAATTTGCCTGAAAAATTGCAGCAGGAGGTTAAGAAACTACATGCTATTTAGCTTGACCTACTATCTGCCCCTCGTGAAGAATTGATTTTGGTAGAGTAGGAGCAAGCTAAGAAAGTGACAAAATTATCACTTGCTGAGGAGGTTTACTTGAAACAAAAATCAAGAGTTCAATGGCTAAAGGAAGGGGACCAGAACACCACATACTTCCACAAAGTGATGAAGGTGAGAAGGAGCAGAAATATGATTAGAGAAATATACAGTGATGATGGTGAGCTTTTAACCCAGTATGTAGATATTGCAAAAGAGGCTGTTGGTTTCTTTGAGAGACTGCTAGGGACAGAAGATCCTAATTGCAATGGAGGTGATCTTGATCTGCTAAGATCCATTTTTGACTACCAACTTCCTGATGATGTTCAACAGTCCCTCACTAAACCCATTACAGCGGATGAATGCAGATTTGCATTTTTTAGCAGTCTAAACAACAAAAGTCTTGGCCCTGATGGTTATACGATTGAATTTTATAAAGCAGCTTGGAACATTGTTGGAGACTTAGTCACTAAAGCCATTCAAGAATTTTTTCTCTCAAGGAAGCTACTAAGAGAGGTAAATTCTACCATAATTTCTTTAGTGCCTAAAGTTCCATGTCCCTCAAAGATGACTGAATATAGGCCTATAGCTTGTTGTAACTTGCTGTATAAATGCATTACAAAGATCATTGCTAACAGATTGAAGAAGTGTCTGCCTCTCTTCATTAGCAATAATCAGTGTGCATTTGTGGAAGGGAGATTAATGGTAGAAAACATTTTGCTTGCTCAAGAAATAGTTAAGCACTATCACAAGCCTAATATGAAGCCTAGATGTGCCTTGAAAATTGACTTGATGAAGGCATTTGACTCTGTGAGCTGGAAATTTCTCCTTATAGCCTTGGAAGCTCTAGGCTTTCCTATTATTTTTATCACTTGGATTAGAGCTTGTATCACTTCCCCCATGTTTTCAGTAGCTTTAAATGGAAATTTGGAGGGCTATTTCCCTGGGAAGAAAGGAATAAGACAAGGTGACCCCTTGTCCCCATACTTGTTTGTCATTTGTATGGAGGTTCTGTCACGACTTTTGAATAAAGCTGCTCAAGAAGGAAATCTACCATATCATCCTAACTGCAAAAAGACTAGCCTCACACACCTATGCTTTGTAGATGACCTACTAATTTTTACAGATGGGAGCTCAAGAGCTGTTGGAGAATTAGATTCAATTCTTAAGCAATTCTACCTGGTGACAGGTTTGAAGGTCAATTACCAGAAATCTGAAATTTTTTGTTGTGGGATGCCAAACCAGGTTATCAGGGAGTTAACTGAAACCTATGGCTTCAAAGTTGGTACTCTTCCTGTCAGGTACCTTGGAGTACCTTTAATTACTGGAAGGTTGACGGATGCAGCTTTGAAACCTCTCATCTCAAAAATAACAGACAGGATAAATTCTTGGTCTTCAAAATATTTGTCCTTCGCAGGGAGGCTACAACTCATTTCTTCAGTACTTCAAGGGATAACGAATTTCTGGTGCTCTGTATTCATCTTGCCAAAAAGGGTTATTACAGCTGTTGAGGCTAAATGCAGTGCTTTTCTATGGAAAGGTAAATCAATTGATGCAAGAGGTGCAAAAGTAAGCTGGTCTGCAGTTTGCCAGCCAAAGATGGAAGGAGGTTTAGGCATTAAACCTCTGTTGAGCTAGAATAATGCATGTATTCTGAGATTTATTTGGCTATTATTTTCCAAGGTTGGCTCAATTTGGGTAGCTTGGGTCAAGGAATACCTCCTTAAGGGGAAGAGTTTTTGGTCAATTCAGATTCCAAATGATGCTTCTTGGAGTTGGAGGAAAATTCTAAAGTTGAGATCTCTTGCCAAATATCTTGTTAAGCATATAGTTGGGACTGGGGATTCGATCTATCTATGGTATGATTTTTGGCATCCGAATGGACCTCTCATTGAAGTTTATGGTCAGAAAATTGTATATGATGCAGCCATCCCATCTCAGGCTAAGCTTTCCCAAGTGATTCAGGGTGATTTTTGGAAATGGCCTCCTACTAGATCTCCTGCACTTCTGCAGATTCAGATTGCATTATGTGGTGTTTTGTATCCCAACCAATCTACGGTAGATTCTGTTACTTGGCTTGCTCAGGTTCCTTCAAAACTGGTTCTACTTGGAACTATTTGAGAGATAAAGGGACCAAAGTGCAGTGGTTTAGGCTTGTTTGGTTTTCCCATTCAATACCAAGGCATTGTTTTACCTCTTGGTTGGCAATCTTAAACAGGCTCTCCACCAAAGCTAGGCAAAAGCGTTGGACCCCTTCCATTGATGATACTTGCATGCTATGTAAGGATGCGAATGAGTTTAGAGATCACTTGTTCTTCTCTTGTCCTTACTCAAGGCAACTCTGGGAACAAATTTCATTACTGCTGGGTGTTCCTTCAACCTGCTCTTGGCAAGATGTATTAACTTGGTTCTGTAGAAAGACCAAGCGTAAAGCTTTGTACAACACACTTCTCAAGCTGGCATGGTGTGCATCAATCTATTACATTTGGACTGAGCGTAATAACAGAATTCATAGGCAAGTGTTCA